TCATGGTATTTGCATGATATTTTCAGGCTGGCTTATTGCTACATGTTTTGTATCCGTGAGAATGGCATGACTGTCCGATGCCATTTTGGATACAAGACCCCCCTAAAGGGGGGGCAAATTTTGAGTGCTGGGGAAGGGATCCGCGGGAGTAACCCGCGCTGCCATGGATAGCGGTTTACAGCTGAGCTGGATAAGTGCAAACGCTATCTGGAAAGTCTGGGCTTTGGCCCCCGAGAGCTGGCTACTCTGGATATAGACGATAGTGCGGCTATCGCCAAGCAGCTAGCCTTTGAGCTGAATATCACTTCCTCCACGGAGCTGGAAGATGCTATTGTGGAGTGGATACAGGACTCGAGAGGTCCCGCGAAGATGGCTATGCGTCTGGAGGGCGTGCTGGCCAGTGATATTGAATGGGAAAGGCTAGCTGTCCGGCGGCGCTTCGGACCAGAAACGGTCCCGGAGAAGCCCCCGCCGCCAGGAGATAGAATCCGCAAGCTAGAGCTTTCTGGTTGCGAGTTGCTAGCTCGCGAAGAAAGGCTGCTGGTTTTCTGGACAAAGCAGCTACAAAGTGAGTTGTGTGCTAGTGACGCACCCGTGCTACAGAAGCTAGAAGATAGCCTGGACCCCGCCAGGGCCTTGGAGATGTTGGCGGGGAAGACAAGAGCGGGAACGCTCAAGAGATATGTCGTGGTACCAAAGCTGGAGACTCTGGCTACAGGAGGCTAAGCTGCTACATCCTCCGGGTCGTCCGATAGACCTGGTGGACTACCTGCTAACCCGCCCGGACGAGCCCTGCGGGAGGTCAGTCCGGGAGACGATAGTGAAGGCTGTCGCTTGGTTTGAAAGGGTTGCCGAGTTCCGCAACGATACAAGAGCTACAGAAGGCCGGATAGTCTGGGCGACCAAGGATAGGATAGTCGAGGCCCTCTCGGAAGGGGCTCCGCTAACACAGAGGGCGCCTCGATATCCCACCTGGATTTTTGGTGAAGCTAGAGAGGCTTGTTTTCGATGAGAACGAGGCCGTTGGGATACGTGTTTACGCCTGGGCCACGCCACGCTATTCAAATCATGGGCATCTTTGAGATGGTCCGATATCCAGGCGATCAAACCTATCGAGCTTCGCCTCGAGGAGGGCCGGCTATTCACGATACTCCGTCGGACCAAGACATCGGGTCTGAACCGGAGGATAAAGGAGCTGCCAGTTTGTGTTAGCGAAGTGGCATTCTATGAGGATGCCCGCTGGATATCAGTAGGTTTCAACCTGCTAAAGGAGAACGCCAGCTACAAGAGGGATTACCTCTTGCCGAGATTGAGATCCGATATGACATCAATGGATCGCAAGATGGCGAGCTATGCTGACGCTGTGGTGGCCACCGCGGCGGTCCTCGCTAGGATAGGCATCCCCGCGGCGGTCCAAGGATATTGGACAGAGCGGTCAGAGAGGTCGATATTGCCGACGGCCTTGGCAATATTGGGTGTCACGGACTCCGAGAAAGATATCCTGGGAGATGGAAGCCCGGATACCTACGTCCGATCCTACGGTGGAAGGGTGGCTAGATTGCAGTCCAGATATGCAGCCGCTGCCCGAGAGGATAGCCACTACTCTATGCTGGAAGACGGGGCGGATATTTGCTGATCTGGTTCCAGTGATCCCGGAAGTGGAGGATAACCCTCCAGAAGAGAGGGGCGAGGACAGCGAAGATAGCCAGGGGCCCGAGCCTGCTAGTTCCTCTAAGGTTGCGAAGACTGTGGACCGTTCGGCTAGGTATGTGATAGTGGAGCTGCCGGGAGCAATTTTCCGGCTACATCGAGCTGGTGCCAATGGTTGTTGGATGGGGAGACAGAGGGAATTTAAGAGCTCTCGAGATTTCTCCGATATGCCGGATAGAACGGAGTACACACATGTTTGCCGTCTCTGTTGGCCGGATGGCCAGTTTGATAGCGATGATAATCCTAGTGATGCCTCTCCAGCGGGGTCTGGAGACGAACCTGAGATGCAGGATATGCCGTGAGACCCAGAATGGTCTCAGACGGAGTCCGTCTCTGGGGGCTGGGCAGGCTACGACGATAGCTGGCTGCCGATCGGCTCCGGATAGGGATGGCGCAAAGCGTGGTTGATAAATCGAGTGCTGGATATTTTTCCTTGTTTGGCTTGGCTTGATTTTCCTTGATTGCCTTGCTAACTTGATATGCATGTGGCTCACTTGGCACTTGGATACCGCGTTTTGAGAAGCCTGCTTGAGAGGAGAGAGTCGGAGAGGGCGCCTCCCTTTTTCTTTTCCGCCCGTGAAACCAGAGAAGGAGAGAATCGGAGAGGGCGCGACAGTGACATGTTTGGCTATGCTTGCGGTGTATTACTACGCTACTCTGTCTTACTACAGGGCGCTGCTACCTAGCGAGTTAGCTATTCATGTCTGAGTGCTCGGTGCGCGCACGGTGTATTGCTATCAGGGCTATCTGCTAACTAGAAGGGTGGCTATTCTGATAGGGCGGCAGGAAGCAGGACTACTTGAAAGTCTCTGTCTTGCTATGCTACTAGATCTGCTACCTAGCGTGACGGGATATCCGAAGCTTGGGGACCAAGCTTGAAAAAGAGTTTTGTGGTAGGATTGTGGGGCGCCCGCCCCCGAAAGTGGGTGATCTCTTTTGATATCCGCTATGTCTGCTTCTGATAACACCAGTGTTATCGATGCTACAAGGACAATGCTAAGAGCGCTAGAGGATAATGCTGAAGGCCTGGAGGCCATCTGGAGAGGAGCGGCTACAAAGGACCAGCTCCAGGACATGATAAACTTGCTAGAGTTGGCGCAGGTGTCAACGGCTGAGAAGCGCCATATGCAGGAGGCGGCGCAGCTAGCGGCAGAGAGGGAGGCTAGGACCAAGGCGGGGGCCAAGGCTAGCTTCCCGCGTGCTAGCCCGAGAGGGACCAACAAGGTCCCCGCCGCTAGCTCCAAGAGACAGGCTACCGCCAAGACCGAGGCGGAGAGATGTGACACCGCCGCCCAGTTTCTGGGCAGATGTGGTCGACACACCTGCGGAGCGTGAGACGGAGCCGCAGTGGATGCTGGATATGGCCAAGCACACCTTGGCCGAGCAGATGGCTAGCGTGAGAGATAGAGTGCCTCTGGGGATTCTTGAGAGGTTCTCCCGAGATGATAAAGGGAGAGTCGATATGAGCTACCGCCGCTACCCGACGTCAGAGCTACCACCTGGACACCGTTGGGGGCGACCAGCTAAAGGGATAGGCAAAGGGTATTCACCTGGAGAATATCCGAGATGATGCGCTAGTGGCTAACCCGGACTTCGGGAGTGCCCTCATGCCGCTAGTGCCCGAGATCGGCTATGTGAGATGCCGCTCTGGCGAGATGACTGGGAGAGGGCGCTGGGACGCTAAAAACGAGATCTTTAGATGTGTGATGTTGTGCCCAAAGTGCGAGGGCGATAGTTGTAATCAGCGGATGTGGACCGTGTACGAGCAGCACGGGTCCCACCGCTGTAAAACTTGCCACCGCGAAGACGGTGGCGAGTATACCGACTGATAGTCGATATGTTGCTACTTGATATAGCTATGAGCTAGCTATCTGTACAGTGCTCGAGATAGCCCAGGCCACGCTAGACGGTGTCCGATAATCCCCTGATTGTTGAGGTGAGTACATATTGATAGTGCCTTTTGTGGGGTGAGGATACAGTCTAGCGGAGGCCGCCGCGGAGAGGTGGCGAGAAAAAGAGAGATGGCCGATAGCCTCTGCGCAGACATGCTTACTGGCTATTTCTGGACAGTGGGGATAGTGGTCCGAGATGTTTTTGGATACGCCGAAATTTGTTTGCTTGAGGCTCCGCTTCGAAAGCTAGAGAGAGAGAGAGAGAGAAGAAGAGACAAGGGTCTTTGGGGTATCCAGACCCTTCCTCTCCGGCTACTTCGTTAAATGGGGGTATCCAGACCCCCTCTCTCTTTCTCTCTCGTTTCTTTTCTTCTCCAGTGATCTTCGATATGTGGATATGCGGTATATGGGGGTATCCAGACCCCTTCTCTTCACCTTTCAGCTATTCCGAGAATTTTGACTCAAGTTCGATTCAGAAGTGATTCAGGGGGAGTCCCCCCGAGGGGGACCCCCCATGGCGCTCTCCGTGGCGGAGAAGCTAGCTAAAGGGTCGTCGGACCTGAGATTTTTGCTAACCAACCATGGGGTCAAGGACGACCGCCAGGGTAAGCTATACGAGAGTGGAATCGATACGCTAGCCAAGTTTGCTGCTTTTGTTACAACGGCTAGGGAGCTAGCCGATCTGCTAAAGGCTGAGTTCTCTCTAGATCCAACCGAGTCACTGGATAAGAGAGCCCAGGTCGCTAGCTATACGGTAGCTTGGCAAGCAGCACAGACCCGGGTTAAGGCCCAGGCCGATGCGGAGGCGAGCAACGAGATTCGAGATTTGGCTAAGCCGATACCGGTTTCGGATTACATGGCTATGAGGCAGTCTTTCTCCAAGACCTTGGGGAGCTAGAGGATAAATATATGCCTTCAAAGGAGTATATTGAGAAAAAGCTAAATGAGCTGGAGTCTGGAGAGTTCCGAGCAGAGCAGCTAAGTGAAGTGGTCGGACGGGACGAGGTCGACCCTGATACCTTGCCACCAGCCTGGGATAGTAAGGGCCACATCACCGTGAAGAAGGCCTCCTCCACGCCCACCGGGCCCGAGCAGTTGAGACATAGGATAACCGTTATGTTCAATGCCCTGGCTATGATCAAATTGCGCCATGTCAACAGGATAGAGCTATCCGATGTGACTTCGGATATCTTCGATAAATACCAGGATTATCTCCTTGGAGATTATGTGTATGGGCTACGATCTGCTGAAGGCGTGGGCAGTGCTATTCCACCATGGACCCTGGTCCTGAGCTATGACCATGCTATCAGGAAGCTAGCATACAAGCTAGTTAGCCAGGAGGGATACAAGCTGGGCGAGGCGCTAAAGCGGGCCTGGAAGGACCCAGCAGTGAAGGAGAGACACTTCATCACCCCGCTAGCCCTCTACGCTAAGCGCCCGCTAGAGCCCTGGTACCCCAAAGGGGGGAAAGGCAAGGATAGCAAAGGGAAAGGCAAAGGAAAGAGCGCTATCAAGGGTAAGGGCTCGTCCCGAACCCCGGAGAACAAGCCGATATGCTTTCGATACAATTCGAAAAGTGGTTGCAAGAAGGGCGAGAAATGCCATTTCGCCCATGTGTGTACGCTATGCTTTGCTAAGCATCCGAGCTATCAGTGCAAGTTCAACAAGAACGATACGCAGGGGGCAGCCGCTACCTGACCTGGCGACGTTGCGGCTCCACAAGCTAATGCTACTGCTACTGATAAGACACAGGCCCCCGAGTCCCCGAGCCGCGTGACGCTACAGATACACCACCTGCTACTTTTCGGGCCTCCGGGCCTCGTACGGATACAGCAGCAGCAAAGCCGCCGCAGATCGCTACAGCAGATAAGGTGCTACGCGTACTGTACTTGTTTTCTGGTGTTCCGCGGCAGCATGATATGACTTCTTGTCGAGATATCGGGATACAAGCTGGTCGTCGACTGCATCGATATCAAACGGAGACCGAGGATTGACCTTAGCTACTCCAAGCAGCGAAAGAAGATACTTGAGAAGATCAAATCTGGCTACCATGATGCGGTGTTGCTATCTCCGCCGTGCTCTACTTTTTCCAGAGCACCATGGGCTAACAGGAAAGGACCGAGGCCGGTCCGTAGCTTTGCTAGCCCGAGAGGCTTGGATAAAATCAGTGCAGCAGAGAGGGATAGGGCGATACTTGGCAACATCTTTGCAGACTTCTGCTACGAAGTGATAATCTGTTCGCTGGATGCGGGGGTCGACTTTCTGCTGTTGGAACAGTCAGAAGATTTGGGAGCTATGCGATATGGCCCCTACCAGGGGCTTCGTCCGTCATCCATGTGGCAGTGGCCACAGCTGCAAGATATTCTGAAAAGAGATGGCGTGATAACCTGCGTTTTTCACCAAGGCAATCTGGGTGCTGGATATCCAAAGCCGACGAGACTGCTGCTAAAGACCCGGCTTCAGCTTCCTTCTTTTTGTTTCTTGGGATCCCCGATTTTTGATAAAGACGGGTTCTATACGGGCCCGCTGCCGCTAGCTAAGGGGATGGGTTCGATAAGAGGGCGACACACCTCAGGCCCGTTCAAAACCTCAGGTACCGAGTGCTGGCCGCCGAGAATGTGCCAGTGGATAGCTTGTTGGTTTCTTCCTGGGTGCCGACTGCTACGACTGCTGCGTTGGAGACTCCTATAACTACCCAGGATAGCGCGATCTTATTTGAGATAGCCTGTGCTCATTCCGGGGGCGCTAAGGAGCTAGAGAGGGAAGCCTTTCGCATGGCAACGGGAGGCGAAGGATGCCGGCTCCTGAGGATGCAGTCCTATATTGCGGATATTGTGATAGCCCTGTGCGAATGGCTCGAGGCCCAGGACTTGGGTTGCGACGGGCTATCCGAGGTTGCCCTGGGCAGCCGCTGAGACTGAAGTTGATAAGGGCGCTAATTGAAGCAGCGGATGATCCGGACAGAGATTTCCTGCTACAGGCGGTGGGGATATTGCATCCGCTACCTCGGACACCTCACGTCTTCGAAGAGCAGACAAAGTGGCCCCTGGATAGAGAACCCTGGGAGCCGGG